GTGTGCGCGGAAGGTGATTCGTGTGTGTTAGACGATCCACGCATGCGTAGGTAACAATGTGTACGTACTTTCTAAAGAACTGCACACAAAAAAATTGATTTTAAGCATTTGTAAAATGTGTTTTATGTGCCGTTTGTACAGCATGCATTTGTGAACAGCATGACACACACACACACACAAATCGCTTTATACGTGCAGATTGTGCAGCACGCATTTGTGATCCTCATGACACACACACAAATCGCTTGTTACAGACAAAACGTTAACCACGCATTTGTAATATTTTTGATAGTATTTTATCTCCATAAACATGTTTCCTAACTGTGCATATGACAAATAAACACTGACTTTGACCTCACAGTGCAGCAGCAGGAGGGAACATATATCCACAAAACTGGGCGCAGTCAAAAAATTCCACTTTCACAATGGCACTGGTGTTTGTCAGGCAAGCTCACATGAATGTGCAACTGCCTGCAGATAATGACCATTCAAGGAAATTCTTATACTATCACTTAATAATTTTTTTTTTTTTCAGAAAAAAGTCTCAGGAGTGAGAGTTTAAGAAATGTACATCAATCGAGTAACTTCTGCATAGAAGTACTGGCACATATGTATACCTAACTTTTTTTAGCTTTAGGTCATGTTTAGGGTGATAATTCACTGTTGTAACATTGTAGATAAGTCAGAAAACAAGAAAAAGCACCATGGGCTCTTTAAACTCCAGATATGAGAATGATCTTGCAACAATCAATTTAGTTTGTGTGGTTTTCTTTTGATACTGTACATCTCTAAACAGCATGTGCAAAGAATGGACCCTGGTGAAGCCAGTGGCCTGGGGGAAGACCTGGCCACCAACTGAGAAGCAGCTCCACTCCGAAGAGCGAGCCCATCCAAATCTGACCGTAACAGATTTGTGCCAAGTCTTCAGCTCGGGACCATCTTGGAATTCCAGATCCATCTTGAGTGTGGCCCAAAAAGGTTCCAACCCAGCCCTTCTCTTCTCCTGACCACGTGGAACCTCCAGAGCTAATGGCTAACCCTGCCAACAGCTAAGTACAACCTGATAGCCTGATGTCTCATGAAAACCATAGTTATTGGTCATTACCAAATTAAAGTCTCTAACCTATAGTAATTGACAATACATTTTTCTCTTCATCTTTGTCACTTAACCCCAGGATTCAGATCTCAACATAATTCTAGATAACTCATCTTCCACCATTGCTAACAAGAGACCAGTAATTCTTCCCATCATCAAAACATTAATCTCTATCACAAATGTACCATTTGAATTACCTCTTTCATTCTGATCATTTTCCCTGTGTACATATTGTAAATAAATGTATTTATCTTATAACTGGCTTCATTATGTCATGTTATGTGTCTATGTCCAGCAAATGGGTCATTAAACTGGTAGAGACATAGCTTTCAGATTGAGACTGAATTAATTACTCCTACTGACTTAATCACAGGATGATAGCACTCAAAACTATTTGGCACCCTAATCTAACAAGGTATTGAAAATTCAAATATCAGTATCATGTTCATAAGTTTAGTCATTTCCACCAGACAAGACTGTTTAAAAAATAAATAAAAAGGTTTGATCCTGTAAAACATAGTGATTGAGTGCCAGTAACATTAACATAAAAGCTAAGAAAGTTATATAGCAATCCATGGGAGATTGTACTTGAGTTTCTGCTGCCACCAACACAAAACGCACAGTGCAAGGTCTGCAAAATGAATGAACAAATGATACACAGATTGGTGATAGTTTGCATGTGAAGCTTAGTGAATAAATGTGAATCTTATTAATAAATTTAGCAGTTTTCCATAGAAAATTTCACTGTGTAATGTATTGTAGTACTGAAAAAGGAGGTCACAAATCCCAGTAAAACAGGCCTAACAACAATCATGGACTCAGACCTCTAGAGTTTGATCAAGTTGTTTACATGTTGGTCACTCTTGGTGGAAAGCTTAATGAGCTCCGTGGAGGGTGAAGGAGTCTGATAAAAACATTTCACAGGCACAAAAAGTTCTCTTTCTGAGTTTTGGAAATGAACACACACAATGAGCGTACACAATTTCATGGTTAGATAACTGTGAATAAGACAATTCAATACACAAAACACGAATTTTAGTCCTCAAGGTGAAATGCTTTTTAAAATAATTTTCAGTCATATATTCTTATAATATAATCTCCTTGTTTCTATAATTACTAATATTTGACTTTCTTAATGGATGAAGAATCAAATGCAACATATTTAACTTTTGGTGGCCATGTGGAGCTTCACAAATACAGATACCTTTATTTTATGGTTGTTTTTACAGTATATATTTTAATAATCTGCAGTAATTCTACTATTTTGTACCTGATCTGGAAACACCAGGACCTCCATGAGCCTATGTACATTTTCATTGCAGCTTTGTTATTGAACTCTGTTCTTTTCAGCACTAATATTTACCCAAAGCTGTTGATTGATTTTTTATCCGAAAAACAGATCATATCTCATCGAGCCTGTCTTGTTCAGTTTTTTATGTTTTATACACTAGGCTTTTCAGAGTTCTTACTGTTGGCAGTCATGGCCTATGACAGATATGTGTCTATATGTAAACCTCTGCAATATCCAACTATAATGAGAAGAAAGACTATCAGTATCTTACTGGCTTTAGCTTGGCTCGTGCCTGCATGTGAGGTTGTGGGAACAACAACACTGAGTTCTTATCAAAAGCTCTGTAGCTTTACTCTGAATGTAATTTTTTGTAATAATTTTATTTACAGACTTTTTTGTGTGCCATCAAAAGCAGTAACTATATATGGTGCATTTGGTTTGGTATATCTTGTTGTATTTCCTGTGTTTTTCATTGTTTTTTCATACACCAGGATATTCATTATATGTTATCACAGTAGTTCAGAAGTCAAGAGAAAAGCTGCACAGACCTGTGTTCCTCACCTGCTGGTGTTAATCAACTATTTTATTTTGATAACATATGATGTTATTACAGTTCGACTGGAATTAGATTTTCCAAAAATTGCACGTTTAATAATGTCTTTGCAATTAGTTTTGTATCATCCTCTTTTTAATCCAATTATATATGGATTAAAAATGAAAGAAATTTATAAACACCTCAAGAGGTTGTTCTGTTGAGATAAAATGAAATAAAGTTATCAACAGTGATAACTTATACTGTAATAACAATACAGAGACATGATTTGTATGATCCCTGGACAGCACTCATCAGGTCAGGATTGGCTTTGATTCTTAACACAGTAAAGTCACTGTCGGCTTCAAAACTGTGATGAGTGATCAGTTTTCTACCATTACTCCACCATCCATCATTTATGTCCTGTGATTCAAATGGTGCTCATTCTGAATGTTTCAGTTTGCTTTGATTTAACTGGACACATGCAGAACTCTTGGAATGAGATGCAGCTCAGTCAACAAAGTCACATGGAATAGATGATCATGTAAATGTAGACAGTGTTCACTGTAATAAATCACATGTTGTATTTACTTAATTTACTCCTGTCAACTGGTCCCACTAAACTGGGTTGAACAAACTGAGATGCTTGATAATTGATTGCTACTAAATGATGTTAAGCAGCTCTCGTAAAACTCCTAAACACCTTATTAAATTCTACAACACAGATTGAATGTACTTAACACATTTAAGTTGGAGTTACTTAAGGTTTGTTGAATCAAGTTAAGTCACTCATGTCCAATTTACTGAACACAGGTTCAGTTGTAGGATTTTCTTGATTTTACCTAATAGGACAGAAACCAGCTATGAGTGTGACTGAGTCATAAATAAAATCTAAATATTTTCTCACTTCACTTGACTTTAAGACATTACTTCAAGTCAGAAACAAAGAAATGTGACATCAAATGATATTTTTTCCAAATTTCCTTCAGTTTATTAAGTTACAATGTGATTGATATATAGATACTTAATTGATCCTGAGGGAAGTTTAGGTAATGTTGGATATTGGTTGTTCTAAAGCATAGAGGGGATAGCTTGTGATCAGAAGGTCACCAGTTCCATCCCCAAACGCGCAGGATCAAATGTGAATGGGTCAGGTGCCAAAGTGGCACCTGGGCCACTGGCTATCTTGAAAATTCTGATGAACAGTTGGACTACAGTGAAAGAGAGAGGTTGGATACAGAACCCAGTACAGCTGTGGCCTATAGAGGAGAGGGGGATGAGGCCTCGGAAGGCTGCAATGAAGAGAAGGCAGAGACACATTTTAATTATTTCATACAACTTCATTTAGAAGAGTTTAATTCTTAGCTAAGTGAGATTAAATGTCAGGTGATCAATACATAAAAACCCTTTACGTTCTGCAAAGAAATATATTGGGAGGAACACCTTCGAAAATGAGATCCATCATTTTACATATTAAAACAATGCAAACTGTGCAAAAATTATCTGATTTTTTTTTAATGAATGATTTGTTGATAGATTACATTGTTGTAACAGTTTCAATCTGATAAATCAAACTGGGGCCACTTGACAGGGAAAGTCCCAGGCTGCTTTTCATTGCCCTGATTGTGACACATAATGATTCACACATAATTAAGTTAGTCATTTTTTTGTCTAGTGACTATTCCAAAATCTAATCTAAAGTTTCCTGGAATATATTTTTGATTCAGAGATGACTGATTGACAGTGATCATAATTGTCTGGTTGGTAGGCATTGGATAGCTGGTCATTTTTATTTAGTTAGGTGGGATCTTTGACTATTGAGGGATGGGAGCAACAGCCGATTTATTCTTGTTTAACAGCAGTAAGTTATATAAGTGGTACAGTGATGGCTGGATTTGTAACTGGTAACTAGATATTTTAACTAAAATTATGTCAAATAGATGAGATGAGGGACCAGATTGCTAAATGAGAGTAGTTTCATTAAGTAATTTAAGTGAGGTGTGCAAGCTGAGGAGTAAAGCCAGAATTATGATTGTCGTGCTGCACATGAGTGAAGACACACAAGACACTTTTGAAGCTGTTCATGCTGGGGGTGTAACAATCCATCAATCTGGATTGATCCATTGATCAAACACCCCGCGATCTGATGACATCGATGCAAAATGTAAACACCAATGTTTGGTTTGTCTTTATTTTGACAGCCAGCCACATTTGCATGTATTTCTGGTGAAGCGCTGTTCTGAGCAAACTGTACAAGAAGTTCCAGGCAGTGTAGCTAGAAATCTGAGACTGGGAATTCACACAAAGTGCAGTGCATAAGCTATGGAAGCATTTGATCCATTCAGTCCACACCAACTCCGACCTCCGTGCAGTGTCACTGTCATCAGAACAGCTGTTTATCTGTCAGCAGGATGGTGACTGGACAGACGGTCTGTGGGGGTTATGCTTTGTTAAATGCAGCAAAGACAAGACTTGAAATGTAGAAAACGGGGTCAGTATGGACAGACACATTTGACAGATTGGAGTTTTAGCTGTTGCATGAGAGGGGTGAATGACAAAAAGCTTGCTATGAGAATCGGCCTTGACCTGTAGCAGCCACAAAAAATACACAGCTA